AATCTGTGCTTCCCTGCTTCCTGTCCCCAGCAACACAACCATGTTCCCCTTGGTGCCTTTCGTCCATTTCCCCTTCACCCCAGCTCAGCGCCGTGCCTGCCAATGCCCCCTACGCCCCGTGAACCGTTTGCTTACGTGTTAGCACCAGTTGCTGCCACTGGGAAGGGCGCGGCAACATAGTTCCGAGCCCATGTACGTGGTACACGGAGCAGAGCCCGGTTCTGCGTCGCGCCATCGAAAGAGCGGAGAAGGTTAGGGATATCAAGTCGAATTGACAAGAAGAACTTATATAACGCGTCGATTGGCAAGCAGGTGAACGTATCGCTTGCTGTAAGGGCGGATGCGGATGCCGACGTCTGGATATGAGCCCATTAGACCCGCTAGATGCAAAACTTACTTGAGAGTATAAACGTAAGCTCGTATGTCTTTGTTTTCTCCTCAGTGCTTGTTGTCGCTGACTGGTCGACTGCGATTCTGTTTGAATAAGAAACGCACAGTCGCCAGCTGGGCCTAAGCTGACAAGGCCCTGCCTAAGTGTTCTATGTGCACTACATAACGCTACGTAACTGGCCATTGGGCAGTTCGCCTCTTGGCTAACTTGTAATGCTGGTTCGGAGGTCGCAAGCTGGTCGTAAACAGGATGTGTTACAGGGCGGACAGGCGTATATGTCTTTGCACTTAATGTAAGCATTTGCAACACCTTGAGTCACCTGCAGTGTGCTCTACCTTCGGGCGGGTGTACTGCAAGTGGCTTGTTAGTCCGTCGCCTACCTCAATAAACACATGGACCTGCAGGAAATTCAACGCTGAACACCATGGTGTGCTTGGTTTGTTGAGATATGCGCGGAAACGAAAAATCCGTACAATCATGTACGCATCGATGGCTTTACCGGCCAAAAGTTCGAGCTCAGTCGTAAACCATGTTGCCATTGAAAAAAACAAGGTATAGTAGTATGTGGTGGCCCTTTAAAAGAAAATAAAATACACCAAGTATGTGCGCTTGCATGCGCGACCCTGCTTTTCTTATCATATCCCAATACGAAAACATGCAATGAAAGGTGGTTTTGCTGTTGTTCATTATGCTTTAGTGAATGCTGCTATGTGCGCGCGCGCGTGACTCGTCGACGAATGGATGGCATGGCATTGCATGCTGAGAATGTGGTGCTGCAGGTGGCGGTGGAGCATATTGGGCTGCTGCTCTTCATGCGGCAGAGCAGCAGCAGCAGCGGCACTATGACAACTTGGTCTTGATTGGGGTCTTGATCGCTTGGTGGTGTTGCCTGTTTCGTACAATTGCCTGTCAGTTGGGAAGGAATGGATGGCTCATGGTTCATGGTGACGCCGCGGTGGTGCTGCCCCTCCCACCGGAGTTCACCATGCGCCTGCTGAGCGCCTGCTAGACAAGGGGTTTGGGGCAGGGAGAGAAGGCTCAGCAGGTGTAAAATGCAGATGCACATGATGGATAGGAGGAGGATGACCCAAAGGTAGGGTGCATGCTTGGGGTGAAAGCCATTAGTATATGCCTGTTGCTATTGGCGGGTTGCCTCTGCCCACTAGCTAGCCCACTACATGCTAGGTCTTCCCTGCCCCTTGCCGTACCCCAAACCAGCCCCAGCCGTTGGCGGCCCCTCTCCGTATTGTCTGGGAGGTGGTGGGGATTGAAGCGCCCGTGCATCTTGGCAGGAGGGACGAGGTAGGGGCAGTGACGACGGCGGCAGCGGCGGTGGCAGGGGGTGTATGGGTGGAGAAGGGGATGACGCAGTCCATTGCTTGGAAAGGGAGGAGCTGAGCCATCTCTCTGTTTGGGGGGGATGCAGGGGAGATGGCAAGAAGGGTGTCAGTATGTAGTGAGAGCACGGTAAGTTTGGAGGAGGAGAGGGACATAACGAACACAACAGGATGCATGGGGCTGCAAAGCAGGGCAGCATACGCAGCTCTTTTCCCCCCCACATGTAAAAGAGACACATCCCTCGTTCTCTCGCCCCCTCCGCCCAACCCAATACAACCCCCCAGCTCACCCGTGCCCCACACACAGACTCTGCTGCGTGCTTGATACCCACCGCGGTGTGTGCTGTGCCTGTGGGGGTGGGGGGTAAACACGCACATGAAGTTAAGCAGGATGCCAGCAGGAAGGGCGTATGCGCGTTACGGGGCGAGAGGGGCGAAAAGGCAGCGTGTGTGCTCTTTGGCAGCGCTTATCTGTCATAATCATGCCTGATGATGCCTGAGCACTTCTGTGCACGTCTGCTGCTCTCAACAGCGCTGCCCTCTCGTCCATTTGCGCTTGTGGGGCACTCACGTGGGGCGGGCTACCCATACATACTTAAGAGGCAGTGCTACGAACCCCCAACGCTGCCAGAGTACACGCCAGAGTACGACACAGCCCGAAACCTGCGCCTCCCCCGTCCCACGCCTCCCCCGCCCCATACCGGCGTCGAACAACCAGTGTCTTGGCCACACCGCGCCCCGCTTACCCTGGGCTCGTACGTGGCTGGCGAATTCGTCTTGCTAGTGCTCGCCTTTGCCCTGCAACAAGAGCACATGAGGGGTGCAGCAGGTCAGGTCAGACCGCAGTGCAACAACCAAGGTGCAAGGAAGAAGACCTTTGGATACGCAGTTGAGCGTGTGGTGAGGGAATACGTTGCACAGACGGACTGTGGTTAGGTGCTCGCAACTCTACACGCAGAGCCAAGAGACTCCTGCATCACGCGGGATTGCTTCACACAAGCACAGGGCGTGGGTGGGTTGCATCGCAGCGTTACCGGCAAGGCATAATAGGCAACATAACAGGCCGGGGATGGAGGCGTTATGGGGCAAGTTGTTGATATATTTCCCCACACCGCGCCCTACTTAACCGTACGAGCTTGGAGGTGTTGGTGGGAGTAGTGACAGCAGGGCGGTGTAGGTGATGGTGACGGGCTGGGTGCTGCTGGGGAGGGCGGTGTTGAACTTGGCAACGGCGGCGGCCACAGCAGCAGCAGCAGCAGCAGCGGTCAGGTAGAGAGGTGTAGTCAGCAACTTCACCCGGCCCCCAACCAACCACCAATCGTACGGCAGGCGGGAGCGGTGCAGGAGATGGCGGTGCTGGGCGGGGCGGTGAGGTCGAGGGAGGCGGCGCGCCAGGCGGGAGGGGTGCAGGAGATGGAGGTGCGGGGCGGGGCGGTGTTGAACTGGGCGACGGCGGCGGCCACAGCAGCAGCAGCAGAAGCTGAGGGGATGGTTGGGCAACCGGGGCGTCACTGGGAGCTGGAGACTGTGGGGCGTTTTCGGGATGAAGGTGATTTCGGTGGCCGCCAGGCACTGTTGGGCAGGAAAGGAAGGGAGGGAGCGGAACCGGTTTGAGTCTGAGCGTCGTATGGGTGTGTGTTTCATAGAAGAAAAGGAGGAGACAAGAGGGAGACCACCCATAACACCGTGCATTAACGGCGCCCTAACCCTTTGCCCTGAGCGTGCTGATGACCCGTGGGTCACTCACCTGTTTTGTAGGCGACGGGCCGCACGTGGAACATCACAACAGGTGATGCACGATGCAGACCAGTCAGGGGCTCCGGCCTGCAGGTGAGCTACGGCGGATGCAGACTGGGGGCTGGAGATATGGTGGTGACGTGCTGGTGAAGGCGGCTGCAAGCTGAGCAGCCGATGAAGGCAAAGTTGGGCTGGGCTGAACAGGCGAGGGAGGAAGCTGGCTGTGCGGCGGGAAGGCCGGCCGTGAGGGCTGGGCAGTGCGGGTGAGGGCGGAAGCGAGCTGGGCAGAGCGGGCCCAGAGGGGCGGAGGTGCCAGGGCTTGGGGGCGGTGAGGGCGGCAGCAGCCTGGCTGACGCTGGTTAGGGGGGAGGCAGGCTGGGCGGCGCCGGTGGGGGCTGCGCGGTTGCAACAGCGGACCAGCAGAGGCTCAGCACTGTCCTGTGTAGAGACGACTGTGGGGCGGTTTCAGGATGAAGGTGATTTCGGTGGCCGCCAGGCACTGTTGGGCAGGAAAGGAAGGGAGGGAGGGGAACCGGTTTGAGTCTGAGCGTTGTATGGGTGTGTGTTTCATAGAAGAAAAGGAGGAGACAAGAGGGAGACCACCCATAACACCGTGCATTAACGGCGCCCTAACCCCTTGCCCTGAGCGTGCTGATGACCCATGGGTCACTCACCTGTTTTGTAGGCGACGGGCCACACGTGGAACTCCTCAAAAGGTGATGGACGATGCAGACCAGTCAGGGGCACCGGCCTGCAGGTGAGCTACGGCGGATGCTGACTGGGGGCTGGGGATATGGCGGTGACGTGCTGGTAATGGCGGCAACAAGCTGAACAGCGGCGAAGGCAAAGTGGGGCTGGGCTGAACAGGCGAGGGAGGAAGCTGGCTGTGTGGCGGGAAGGCCGGCCGTGAGGGCTGGGCAGTGCGGGTGAGGGCGGCAGCGAGCTGGGCAGAGCGGGCCCAGAGGGTGCCCAGAGGGGCGGAGGTGCCAGGGCTTGGGGGCGGTGAGGGTGGCAGCAGCCTGGCTGATGCTGGTTAGGGGGGAGGCGGGCTGGGCAGCGCCGGTGGGGGCTGGGCGGTTGCAGCAGCGGAACAGCAAAGGCTCAGCACTGTCCTGTGTAGAGACGACTGTGGGGCGGAGGGGAGGGGCGGGAGGGAGGCGGGAGGGGGAGAGGAGGCGGATAAGAAGGCATGCAAAGGAGTACGACGACAGGCAAGGGGCAGGCGTTGCTGTACAGCCCAGGCCATCCAACAGCCGCTGTGCCCTGTGTTGCAGGTGTTAGCAGGACCGCCCGGTGCCCCCCAAGTTCCCTCCTCTACACGACCCCCTTCCCTGGACCTCTGCCCGTCATACTTTGACCCAACTCACATCTGCTGCTATATAAGCTACGGCGGATGAGCGGCTGGGCGGCTCCAGCGAAGGTGGCAGCACGCCATGCAGGAAGCGGCGCAGGAGGTGGTGGTGGTGCAAGGCGGGGCGGCTCCAGCGAAGGTGGCAGCACGCCATGCAGGAAGCGGCGCAGGAGGTGGTGGTGGTGCAAGGCTGGGAAGAGAAGGTGAGGGATGGAGGCGGAACGCCAGGCGGTTGAAGTGCAGGAGATGGCGGTGTAGGCGAGGGCTGGGCGGTGAGGGCGAGGGAGGGAGAGGGCTGGGCGCTGCAGGCGAGGTCGATGTCAGGCTGGGCGGTGCTGGCGACGGCGGGCAAGTTGGTGAAGGTAACGGCACGCCAGGCGGGAGGGAGGGGGAGGAGGGACCCCCTTCCCTGCACCCGCTAAGGTCATTCATGGGGTTCTGCTGCTCCTGCCACTGCTGCTGCTGGGGCTCCGTGAGTCCACAGTGAGAGAGGGCTGCATGAAGGGGGGGAGGGAGGGAGACAGGAGCGGGAGGGAATGAGTAAGGGAACACGCACGACCGAGTATGACAGGCGGTCGGAGGAGGTACACATGGATACTGCCCAACACCATGGCGACCCACGGGTCTCAACTGTGTTGCAGGTGTTGCAGGCGCCCCCAAGTTTCCCCCGTCTTGCCATGCACCAATCCACTACACAACCCCCTTCCCTGCACAAATCCGCCCGCCCTACAATGACCCAACTCACATGTCCTGCTATAGGAGCTTAACCAATGGCGCGCGGCGGGGTGAACGCTGGCCAGTGACGTGCAGGCCAGGGAGTAGCAGTGAAGGGCTGATTGGGGCGAGGTAACAGAGACAGGGACCGAGAGGGAGGAGGAGCCAGTCCCATGAAAGAACGCATGGCTGGGCGGTGCGTTGCAGAGCTGTTCAGCGGCGGGGAGGGCTCTGAAAAGGACGGAGCAGCAGGAGAAAGAGGAGCATGCGAGAGGAAGGAGAACATGTTAGCAAGCGGGGGGGGAGAGAAGTAGTCGGGGCAGCAGCAGGGCGCAGGGTAAGCAGGGCGGCGAGAGGAGAAGAGCGCGCAAGAGGGTGAGGACGCAGGGGTGCTAACGTGGTGCTAACAGCAGTGTAGAGCAACAGAAAGGGGTTTGGAAATAGAGAGTCCCAGACAGCATCAGCCCCCGTATGCAAAAGCTGGGCTGCTGGCAACCGCCTTTCTCACCTCCATCCAACCAACCGCGCCGCTCCACTGGCACGCCCTTCCTTCACCAGCAGCCTGCCAAGCGCTTGTAACCTAAACAGAGAGGAACAGCAGACGCTGGTGTAAGTTATGGTTGCTACGAGGACACTGGAAAATGCGATGCGAGGCTCAGATGAAAGAAGCTAGCTGCACCGCAAATCACACACTCATATCAAGGAACACGATGTTGTATGTGCCAAGCCCGCGTGCACCTCATTACGGCCTCTAACGAGAGCTCGGCCCAGACACGAGCAGCAGGAGATCGCACTCATAGCAAGCGCTCCGGCCCTCCCAACGCACCTGATTTGCTAGGTGCTCCTAAACGGATGAGAAAAGCCGACGCTGCTCCAAGACGACGGCCAAAAAGTCCGAGTGCTTTCTCCGGCCCAGCACCGCCTCCAGATCGTTTGCGTCGAACTCTGTCCATAAAAACAGGACGTGAAGTATTTTACCTATTTATACATCAGTGTGTTGTAACAGTAGTGAAGTAAGCGTGCGCAGGCACAATGCGAGCCTCTGCTATGCCGCTGCTGATGTACGGCAACGGGGCATGAGGCAGCTTATTCTGCCCGCTTCCTCCAAAACCCGTAAGGAACCTGTTACTGGTATGCTTGTTTGAGCGAGTATGTGTGCGCTTTAGTGCAATTTCAGGGCTAAGCGCGGCTGGTCATGAGCTCGTCACCCTGCTCAAGGGTGACCACTCCCAACAAATCACACCTCCCACGCGGCCAATCCGGGATTCAGCGCCTTGCCTGACGTGGGCTGTGCATATTAGGCATGGGTCATAGGATAATATCAATCACAGTCGTCGCATGGTGCTCCTGGGAGTGGATGTGTGGGGGGAGTGAGCATGGGGCCTCTCCAACGAACATCCTCATCAAACAATGTGTACTTCACCCAAAGACAGTTGTGAGGCCTGTCGCCAGCTGCATGTGCACCATAAGGGAATGGAACACAGCAATTACGGGCACAGTAGGCTAAAAGACACAGCAAACACCCACATGTGATGTTGCCCTAGCTGGGAAGGGGAAAAAGCAGGCATAGTCCATCAACTGCACGTGCAACACACAGGCTGTCCAACTAGAACACAAATGTACGACAGGAGGCATATTGCCCGGGCCCTCTTGGGTCAAATAGGGCGTCAGGCGAAAAGATCCCAAGGGTACGTTGGGTGCCGCGGCTGCTTCTCCTCGACCGGCCCCTAGCCGTCGGCAGCCTGAGGAGGAGCACGGCGTGCAAGGCAGCGCCATGAAGGCACCCTTCCCCGCCCCCCAGCGGCCCCAGTACCCTCCCCAGACGCCGCCGAGTCCGTTGGGTGCCGCGGCTGCTTCTCCTCGACTGCCCCCTAGCCAGGGCAGCATGCAGTCTCCTCCTCGCTCTCATGTGCTTGATGAGGATGCACCTGTGCCAACAGCCACCCGGGCTGCTGCTGGTGGCCTGCGTCCAGGCTGTGTTCCGCCGCTCATTGGCTCTGGGCTCTCGGGGGTGCAGCGGCAGTATTGCTATGGTGGGTCCTTTGCATCCAACCTGCCAGGTCGCAATTGGCCCAAAGACGCGCTAGGCAGTCGGTGCCGTATTGGCTTCCTCTCCTTTATGAAGCAGAACATCAGGCTTGCTCCCATTACGGAGGAGATGGCGGGCTTTCGGAGCTGGAACCTCCAGATTCACAACTTCAACGGCAGGCCTGGTGTTTCCGAGTCGACGTACAAGGGCTTGGTTAGCACTGTATCGAAGTACCTCGGCGTGTGCTTCCTGTACCAGGGGGCGCCGCTTCCTCTCATCTCGCTGCGACTCTTCAGCAACCCGGTAGGCATGAGGGGCAAGCATAAGGGACTCAGGGGCAGGGGGCGGTGTAGGGTTGGGTTTGGCAGGTCATGAGCATTAATAGGAAGGCGGTGGGGGATCGTGCTTTGCCCTGTCTTGGGGCTGGTTTACTGACACGTGGGGTTTTAACATGCCGTCCCTTTCCCTGCTACTGCCACAGACCTACGCCGTCGAGTACATAGACCTCATGGTGCGACGGGGCGGAAAGATGCGCATCCAGGCAGAGATCTCGCGGGTTATCCGCGTGATCCACTACCTGATCGAGAGGGACGCCGGCCTGCACCCCGACATGCAGCGGGAGGTGAGAGATTGGTCAAGGGTTTGTGTGCCTCTGTAGTAGTGGGTCCCATATTGCTGTTGCCGTTCAGTGAAGGTACCCTACCTCAGAACAATCTCGTTATGTACTGGTGAACCTTGCTAACACCCACACGCTTTGGCCGCCTTTATTGCCTCAGGTGGCCTTCTGCAAGGACATGCAGGACTGGCTGAGGCGCATGTGCTGCCAGCTGCGGAAGACGTTCCCCTACGAGGCGCCAGCGCCTGCCCCACCGCCAGTCGTCCTTGACTCCGATGGCGAGGCGGCCCCTGTTGGCCTCCCTGACAAGGACACCGTGCTGGGCTTTGTGACGGGTCTGATCAGCCTGGCAACGGCAGCCATGCAGGTGGAGTTGGAGGACGGAGTCAGCATCAGCTTGGACACCGCAGTCCTCATGTCGGACGCTGTGCTCGCTGCTCTCATGTCTGGCGTGTTCGTTCCACCGCTGCGGCTGTCTTGCATCCGGACGCTGATGCGACCTGGAAAGGCCGCGTGTACGCAGTGCAAGCGAGAGGGGTGTCGCGGCAACAACCTGCAGCTGCTGCAGCCAGCTGGAGTCCTGCAGTGTGAGCTGCTGCACCACAAGACGGAGAAGCACGCTGCACCCATCCACTTCACCTTCCCGGACGACCTGGCTGACTTCATTCTCAAGTACGACAGCATTGCACGGCCCGTGCTGGCCAAGTACGGGGCTGCCAAGGTGGATGCGGACGCGCCAGAGTCGCCTTACCTGGTGCTGTCGCGTGGAGGGCTTCCCTACAACGACTACAACATTCAGATAGGGCCTGCATGGCACCGGATTCAGGAGGTGTATGACGCACCGTGGCAGCCCCATTTCAAGGCCTCGGAGTTTCGGCACGTCCATGCGACAACTGCCTACAGCGCCGTTGTTCGTGAGGTCGCGGCCAACACGGCGCCGTTGCGTGGAGACGCGTTTGTCATGGGCAACTCCCTGCGCGTCTGGGACAGCCACTACGTCAAGGGCAAGCACTCCATGCTGGCCCAGGCGACTGTCGAGCGCCTAACGAGCTGGCGACAGGAGCGGCAGCAGCAAGGGGGTGGCGAGGCGGGGCCGTCAAGCTCGGGTCCTATCCTGCCAGCGGCAGGCATGACCCGCGGGACAGTCCAGGCGCCTGCATGGTCAGCAGGCGGTCAGGCGCGGGGCAGCAGCGGCTCTGGGCTGGCGGCAGGAGGGGCAGCCGGCAGCAAGGTGCAGCTGGGGACCATCGATGGGGAGAGTTGGGACGACTGCATGGAGAGCGGTGGGAACAGCAGTGCAGGGCAGGGGGCGTCCGACGGCTTGGAGAAGGGAGAGGAGGACTGGGTAGTGGAGTCGGGAGGGGGAATGGACAGGACGCACAGGACTGGAGATAAGCAGGAGGAACGCCTAGAGGATTGGCCTAGCATCATTTCCCAGCAGCAGCAGGCAGTTCGCAGGAAGCGCAAGTGGTCCAGCGCTGTATAAGGGGGAGTAGCACATGGGGCTGAGGGCAAGGGAACGAACTGTGTGCATTAATTAGTAGGTTTGGCTTTGCTGCTGAAGCCATGGATTGCTAGGTACGGATGCTGGCCAGTTTGCATTGCATTGCTAGGTACTCATGTGCGTTGAGCCATTGGGGCTTGTTAATCCAAGACTCCCCCGGGCGCATGTTCACACGCAGCCAGAACGCGGCTTCATATGAAACTGCCTTGTTTCAGCTATGCAGTTAGTGTTTATGTTACGTTGTTTCGTGAGTTGCATATATTCAACGGCCGGAGACGCGCGGTCTCACGGCGCTCGGATTTACTGCGGCATTGGCCTGCGGCAGACTTATAGGGTGCGCGGGTTTTCACACGGCGGGGCATCTGCCGTACGACAGTGCTGCTGTTTACGCACTGAAGCGTCTCTGTGTAAACACCATGCATACACTCGCTTACGTATTTGAGTTGGTTATAGATAACTATTAGTTCTTAGTCTCAGCGCTAGGTCAACATGTAACTCGTGAAGGATGGCGGGCAAGCTAAACAAAACTCAACCTCAGAAAGTCGCAAAGACTGTGCGAAAGCCTATTTGTTCAGAGATAATCAAGCAGTTCGATGATATCCTTGCTGGGCAGAAGGGCTATGCGGTTGCAAAGTCCTGTGCCAGCATCCTCGAGGGAAAACTGCAGTCGCTAGAGGTAAGAGCTCCTGCCCAGTGCTTTGTTGTATTCCAATTAATTGTGCGTATTATTCAGAAACGCGCTTTGATGTGTCAACGCCCAACGTGAACACAGTATGAGCTTGGCGGTGCTGGTGGCGTTCCCGGCGATGGTTTATATGGCTCAATCACATTGGGCCAGTTCCATCGCCTGCTTTGCTATCTGCGCCTGGTGGACCTCTTGCGACCTTGCGAGAGCGTCCTGGGCGACATCGGTGCGGGCATAGCGAGGTGAGTCGGCATGCAAGGCCCGGTCTTAGGAGGGGCACACGTACGGCAAAAGGGGTGGGGAAAGGCGAGGTACTGAGGGAGAGGTCATGAGCCACACGTGAAGCATCAAACACGGTGGTTTTCCATGTGAATGCAGGCCGGTGGTCATTGCTACCTTCTGCTTTGGTGTGGAGGCTACTGGATGGGAAACCAGCGTCAACAGGGTGTACGTTGGCACCTCTATCATTAGTAGGATAGCCGACAGGTGCACAGCACCCGGCAACAAGGAGGTGGAGCCCCCCATCATGGCAACCGTCTTCCACTGCGCAGCGCAGTACAGCAAAAAGCCCCCCACCATTGCTAAAGCCAATGCTGCAAAGGTACGACGCTTGTAGCCTGGGGTTTCATGTGGCGGTCGCCAGCTGTTACACGGTTGCCAGCTGTCTTGTTCGCATGCAGGTGGACTACAAGGACTGTACGGTTCTGTACACCTTCTGGCAGGGCGTTAACCCAGATGACCGGAAAGCCATCTGCGCCCAAGTGGCGCGAACACAGCAGAAGCTCGAGGTAAGAGCAGGTTGGGCGTGCAAGGTCCTCTGTGTATGAGGGAGGCAACGGCAGGGACATCCCGTGCGCTGGCAGTTAGTTAACCACCTTATGGTTGCTGTACGACACCATACACTCGCAGGTTGTGATCATCGTGCAGCAGGCCCTTCGTCAAAAAAGCCCAGCAGAGCAGTACATGGCGGACTTGGGGCTTCCTGGCCTAAGCCTGCTGTGGTACTCACCTGTCGGTGCGCAAGGTAAGAGCCCAGCTGGGGGATGGGCCGCCTTTTGGTGATTAGAGCCTACTAAACATCGTGCATGCATGCAGGCGGGCAGAAGTTTCGGGCCTACACCTTTATCACGGAACTCGGTAGGCGTAAGCAGCAGGCGCCGAGTCCTGAGCGGCTGCCACTCATCCAGGTAAGCGAGTTAGCTGGTACGGATGTGATGTCGTACATCCATGCCGCCGTACACATGCGGTTTTGGGGCTCAGAGAGCGTGTTGTTGCATTTTGCATTGCGGTGTGCAGCTGGGGTCGCTGCCTCGTGTACCTGTGTCATCAAGGGCAACGATGCATGCAGCTTACTCCCTTGGATTGATAGGGCTGAATCGTTGCATGGTCCCAACCTCTTCCTTCCACAGGCAGGGGTGGATGACGCAGAAGCCCCCATGGAGCTTGCAGATGGCGCCGAGCTGGCCACAGCTGCTGAGGCAGCGGCAGCTGCTGACCCTGTTGCTCCGGAAATGGAGGCTGTCGTGGATCCTGCTTTGGAGGTAGACTATGACGCCGCAGAGCCTGCACCCAAGAAACCCCGGCTGTCGTCTCCTAGCAAGGACCGCACAGCCCCTGCTGCTGCTGCTGCTGCTGCTGCTGTGGCGGCGGGTATCAACACTCCTGCTGCACGGCGGGTGAGTTAACCCCTAGGGATGCAAAGTCTTTTCTGTTATCCCATGCTTAACAACAGCGGGTTCGCAATCTAGCCTCCCCATGCACACCCCCTGCATGTGCGAGTCCCCTGCATGTGCGAGCCCCTTGCATGTACAGCTCTTCCGTACACGATCCCCTTGCTTGCTGTACATGTCGTACAGGTGGCGAATGGGGGTCCCCAAACCTGCAACGCCTCGACTTCTCCATTGCAGCTGTTTGCTGCCGCTGCTTCTGCTGGTGACGGATCCGCCTCAGGCGTGCTTGGTGGCGCGGGCACAAGCCCAGCAGGGCTAGCGCCACCTGCATCAGCCACCGCTGCAGACCTGGTAAGTCGTACACCAGCACGACTGCCAGCAGTTGTGGGCGTTCGTGTGTTTTTTTGTGTGCAAGATCCGCCTCCTCTTTCTCGTACCACCACATGACACCATTGCACGTCTGACCCCCGTGCTCTGCGTTTTTCTTCTTGCTTATGCAGGTGCAGCACCAAAGCTGCTGCACGCAGCCCTCTGCTGCTGCTGCCGCTGCTGCTGCTGCTGCTGATGTGGCTACCAGCGGGTCCCCAGCAGGCGTGCCAATGGGGCGGTCTCCGCCGCTGAGCACGGCAGGAGTTGTCCCCTCCCTGGCTCCAGCCTCCTCTCCACCCGTGCCTACAGATCTGGTGAGTTCAGCTATAGCCTAGCTAGCTTCTTTGTTAGCATACCGATTTAGATCGCTGTGTGGTAGTGCAGAGCATGTATTGCCTCTCTCTCTTTCTCTCTCTCTGTGTGTGCCCTGCTGCTGCTGTCATGGAGGAACGCATGATTGAGCTAACCACCAGCAAAGCAGGAGGTTTAACGAACCCCCAAGCTGACAGGAAGCGCTCCTATCGCCCCCCTCCCATGTTTCCCCTGCAGGAGCACGAGCTACGTGAGAAGTACGGCATGCCGATGGTCAAACTCTTGCTGGAGCTGAAGGAGCCCGTGGCAGTTGGCCTGCTCGCTGTATGCCTCAGCACCAGCTCTCTCGACTGCTTCGACGCGCTGGAAACGCTGAGCCTGTTCTTCTTGGGCCCCTCACGAGCCCAAGGGAACGTGGCGGCGAGGCTGCTGGAGTGTGGAGCGAGGGCGATGCAGTCGCTGCTTGGTTCCCGCGGCTACCAGACAGCCAGCAACCCACCGGGGGGCTTGTCGCGGGTGGAGGTTCTACAGAAGCTGATGCCCAAGGCCCTCAAGTCCTTGCGCAACACTGTCGCCCGTGGGCGCACGGCAGCAGCCTGTTCCAGCAGGGGGGGCGCAGCAGCACCTGCTAGGAGCGACGCCGAGGTGAGCGCTTGCTTATTAGGGAAAAGGGAAAACGGTGCAGTGCTCTCTGCATATGCACTGGTGATGCCAGCTGCTGCTCCCTCCCGCCTCATCAGTGAATGCCTTGATCAATTGGAGGGGATGTACGGCACAGCAGAGCAGACGTGTATGCACGTCCCTTCTTCCGTGCATGTCCCTTTTCACGTCTGCGTCTGACCCTCTTCCTTGCCGCCCCTGCCCAATGAATGCTGCCGTACATGCAGGCTCCTGCCACCGGCGTTTCTTCCAGATCATCAAGTGCTCCTGCTGCTGCTTCGGACGCTGTGATGGACGACGCCGCTGCCGCCGCTGCTCCCAGTGCTTTGGGCTATCACGCACCAAGCTCAGCTCTCGACATGGTACGGCAGCTCAGACGGCGGGCAATCCACAGCAGCACGCACAGCCATCATCAAGAACCGCCGGGGCGGCTGTCACCCTGCAGATCATCCGCTGCCCCTGCGTCTGCTGGAGAGGTGAGATGGGCTTTCTAGTTAGTATGTGTACGAGACAACGTAAGAGGGGTCTTTTGGCAGAGCATGTAGCAGGTGTTTTGCGAGTGCGTTACAGTGCATGCAGTATACTTTTTGGCCAAACCTGCATCCAAGCACCTCCGCTGCTGCTCGAACTGGAAGGTTGCCGTACACCCTCTCTCCCCTCCCCGTCACCCCCGTCATCACCCCCGTCATCACCCCCGTCGTCCCACCCAAACACGCAGGTGTTCGTACGGCACGGGGGGGTGGAGTACAAGAAGGTGGATGGCCTCCCCGCCACCTTTGTCAGCAGGTGCGGCAAGGTCCTGTCCTTGAGGGCGGCGGGCTACAAGCCTGTGGCCGTTACCCGTCATAGAACAACGGGCCACGCGGTTGCAAAGGTTAGGTTTCCTGGCTCGGCGTCTGGGGATGAGCGACGGGTGCAGGTGCGCAGGCTTGTAGCGGCCACCTGGATGCCAGTGGAGGTAGTCAAGAAGCTAGGCCTAACCTGCGCGGAGCCTTACGTGGGGCCCCTGCAGGAGGCTGTATGCAGGCTAGCGCACAGGGACAGAGATGTTCTAAACGTGGGCGTAGATAACCTCGAGGTGGTCCCCAACTAACTAGCTAGGTGCCCCACTAGGGGACGGATAGGAGGCACCGTTCGGGTTGATGATGTCGTAGTATGTACGTGTGTTATCTTTTGGTTAAGAGCTCCTGCTCCTGATGCAGGACGCGCGTTGTATGTAGTGCGCCGCACATACAGCAGGTTTGCATGAAGAGAAGGACACCGCAGTGTTGGCAAGCAGGTTGTATGCATGCATGTGTGTGCCCAATAACACGACTCTGTCCTATATGATGATGATGATGATGATGATGATGATGATGATGATGATGGTGGTGGTGCACTGATTTGACCTGGTTTAAGCGAGCGTGTCTCTGTGTGTGATTTTGCCAACAGTTGCACGGTTGCTGTGGTGATGATAGATGGCGACCCGTCGTTTTATGCAAACCATGCTCATGTCGTCGTACATGCTGCTGCTATTCGTGCAGCAGCAACGTTCTTTCCTAGTGAGTAGTAGTAGTAGTGGTAGCAGTTCTTTGGGACGTGTCACCATCGTACATGGTGCCTATGGCTGGGAACAAGCGGAGCTGGTAGCGCAGCAGCAGGTGGTTGCCTTTAATTGGCTCTTGTACGACGACAACAGTGTGTAGTACGGCGGTTAGGCTACATATGACCCATGGGTCATCAGGCTGTTAGGGGTGTTGTTAGTTGTTATTATGCATGGCGGCGACTGCACATTGGCGTGTCTGTCTCTTACCTATATATTCCTCTCTCTCTATCTATGTCTCTCTCTAGATATCGTTGAACCCAGTGCTGTTGTTCATGTTGTTGTGTGGGGTTGCAGGCAGGCAGGCAGGCAGGCAGGCAGGTGTGAGCATTCTGAGCATGACGTTGGTGTGAGCAGCAGGGCGTTTTCAGCAGGAAGCTGACAGGCAGGCAGGCAGGCATATTGAGTGCGCTGGTGGTACTGTGCGTGTGTGTGTGTGAGAGCAGGTGGTGGGCTTGACAACGACGCAGCAGGCTAGCAGTGATTACTAGGCAGGAGATAGAGCAGCTGGGCAGAGCATGCACAGGCATGGAGTAGTTGTGGTAGACTACCACTGTAACATTCAAGCAAACAGAAAGGAAACACCTCGCTCCTCTCGCATGCACCGCACACAAACACGCACAGCAGAGCACAGCTCTCAGCAGCGGCCGGCGGCCGCTGCTGTCAGCGCCGCGGATCAAAAAGTTAAGTGTCGGGTCCGGGATTTGACCCCACGCGCGTACCCAAGCTAATGGGTATAATACGGCAAGAAGCACCATACCTTCCCATATACCGCCCAGGATCTCATCATGACAAAAATGCAGCAGCAGCGCTACATATCATTAACCTCGCCAACAGCCCCAGACCCAAAGCAGGGCCTTGCGGGAAGGGGAAACAGCCCCGAAACCAAACGGGAAAAGTGACACACTTTGACCGTGTACGAAGGCCCTCTACACGTGGAGACGCAGCCACAACCGCGCATCCATGCCTAGCCATGCAACACCCAAGTGCAGTGCAACCGGGGGAAGCCGCAAAGGAGCCCGCAAACATGCCATGCGGCACGTGCAAAAACACCACGCCAGCCAAAGGACACTACCTACACAAATGCCGATTTGCAACAAATACAAGCAACGACAGCTGCCCGAAACAACACCAATCGATTCAACAACATCATATTACCCTAATCAGCCAGCCCGATCGCAAAGCCAAGCAAGCAAGGAAATAATCAATTCAAAGCCGCGGTCAACGGTACGGAAAAGAGAGAAACCAAGCCATTAGAAGCCGGGAAAAAATTTCCTCGCTCCTCGACCACAACTACAAGCGACGACGCTTTATCACACACGCAAACAAACAACTGCACACTCATACTCACATAAGCATGTCCTCATTCATATTATTTGTGCATGCAGGGTATATGACGGCTCAAATGAAGGCCGGGCTGAGAACTGCGCGCGGGCCGAGCACGAACCGCCCAAGGCTCGACTGTGCAGCGTTCCTGCCAAAGGCAAGACAATGGTCTTATTTGTTATTATCTGTATCCTTTCAAGCTGGCTAAAATTAAAAAACGGCCACAGAGCTTGTTCGTCTGCGGTTTTGCCCCTTGGCGCCAATGCTAAAAAGCACTTTTATTTGCCGCAAGCTGCTGATATCGATTCAATAAATTATGCTCTTTCAATCAAGAATAGAACTTTGTGCTTGATCGCTGAAAAGTTTCGATGCTGCTTTTGAGCGCCTAGCGCTTACGGCCGCCGCTCCTCATGCTCATTGCAGCAGGCAGAGACGCTACCAATGAGCACGTTACAACAATAATAATACGATCGTCTCTCCCAAGAACGCCGCTGCTCTGTCTGCGATGCCAACTACCGACCGAGCCACGGCGGCACCGCTGCTGCCCATCAGCAGGGGCGTGTTGCCAGGCAAGTACTCCCCCATGCAGGTATCGTACAGCCAGAAGACAAACTATGTATCTATCCGTGATGATTCCCCCAAGCAGTAACATGCAGCAGTTCTCGATCTATCTAGGACAGCGCTGTCCGTGTAGCAGTATTGCCACGTGCACAACTCAGCCAACGCCTACCACATGCAGCTCTGTGTTACCACACCTGTCGTACGTAAAGCGACCCGTGGGTCACCCCCTGGCCCCCTTGCCCCACACCGCCAAGACCGCGACTGGCTACGGTAAATCCCCGGACTCAGAGGGGTGCTGTCCGCCCTGCTGCTCGTTGCTCCACGCCGTACGCGGACCATCACGGGAATTCCACGGGGGTGCCGTCAGGGAGGAACTGCTGCTGAGCGGTGCGTGATCTGGTCTCCTCAACTACCGTCTTGTAGGCCTTAGAGTCACCCTTCCTGTTGAGGGAACCTGTGCCCCACCAAACGTGGCAGGGGTTGATGCATGTACGGCAGTCGCAAAGATGCATGACTGCTGGCTGCTGTTGCTGTGTTGGTTGCTGTTCTTCTTGTCCCTGCTGCTGCTGCTGCTGTTGCTGCTTTGAAGGCTGCTGTCCTGGCAGAGTGACTGGCGTGGGCCCATGCACCGCCCAAACCATCACACGGTGCAAAGCATCGATCTGCTGCTGCTTCCTGCCCTCCTGGCCCATCACACAGGAGACATAGCTGTCCACGCCCTGCTGCTGCTGGAAGAACAAGGACCGCAAGAGCTTGTCAGCTGGATCCGTTCGAGGCTGCAGCTTCACTGTAAGACACAAGCTGCGCCAGGTGTTGCCAACCTTCACATGCAGAGGGTAAAGAAGCAGGCAAGCCCTTGCGACGTCCTCCTTGTTGAGCGACCTGCGATGCTTGACCCTGTCGTACAGTGTGTCCACTGCTCTGTGCCACTGCTCTTGCTGCCATGTTGGGATGTAGGAGTGGGGAAACGCCGGTTTTAGGCAAACCTTGGCAATGCTGCTTAGCATCTTGATGGACCTCGCACATGGGCAACCCACAGCCGTGTCCCAAAGGCCGCTACTGCCCGTTGCCCTTGCCAACACAGGAAGCAACTGGTCCTTGAGCTCAGGAGGATCCTGGGCTGGTGTGGGAGGTGATTCCCCCAGCTGAACCGCAGCAGCCTCACGCACGCGTGCTGATGGACGCCGCTGGCGAGTGCTGCATCCCTGCTGTGATGCCTCTACCGGTACCAAACCCGATGAGGGGCATGGGGCAGTGCCTGGGGTACTGCCGTACACTAGGGTACGACAGGTGGCTGCTGCGTCCTCATAGCTGATGTCAACTGGTGTGGTGCTGCTGCATGAAGATGTTCTCTGGCGCTTGAATGAGGACTTGTCGTACGGCTGCTGAGGTCGGAAGCGTAATAGGCCAAGGAAGAAGGGGTTCTGGACCCCAAACCTTGCGTACTGGTGTTCACTGTAGTTAATGCTAAAGCAAGGGTCGCCCTCAAGCACGGGCTGGTGGCACTCTGGAACCGCTGCTGTGGGGCGCGACTTGTCTGCCTTCCTCTGTTGGTTCAAGTCCCGTTTACTGATGCCCTGCTGACATACATTTTACAATAGCAATCGTCTGTTATGCTTTTAATATTTTACGAAGCCGCGCTAAGGAAAACGTACCTGCGAAGAAGAGGTTGCCATACGATTCTGACCAATGGCTTTGCTCTACGTTGTTTGTAACTAAAAGACTAGAGATTCTTTGAATAAGAAACAGATAATGAGACGCGTGCCGGCCGCTATCCTTGCACGTATGGGCTTTCTTTTATCTGTTGTAATGATAATGTAACAAACAGTCTACTGTTAAAGTAAAAGAAGTAAAGTAATTAACAAGGACAACTCGCCGAATCTTTCCAAGTTAGATGCCAGTTGCGGCTTGTAGTACATAGGTGGATTGCCGTACGTGTACAGCATGCCGTACAAATGACGCTTTCTTTACCATCGTGACACCTATGCGGCAACGCCTTCCTATTACAAGTGTTGCATGTCCATGGCCAGGTCTCTTAACGGTGTCAAACAGTGGAGATTTCTACACGACCAGGCCTCTTCATGACTTGCCAAAACATCTTGTCGGTTCCTCTATCGGGGCTATGAACCCCAGTGGCACTGAAGGCCGATAGAGCATCAGTTCGCATGAAACAGCATGGCATATGAGCGCAGCTAAACATGTTAACAATGGGAAGGGGAAACATGGATGCAGTCCTTCAAGCATGAGGAGGAGGGAGGGAAAACTTATAGTTCTTTTAGCACAACCACCTTATTGAAAGGGCGCCGAGGAATGAGGGGAAAAGAAAAAGGCAAGCAGAGAGCGAAGCAAGCGTACAAAACAGTAATGTGTGCTGCCAAACTGACCCACGGGTCGCTTCATGACAGAGACCTTCAGGAAATCGCCCCAAACGCGCAATTAAAGCTAACTCGCGCATACATGCAACCGTGCTGCATTGATAAGCACTCAATAACGGACTCGTAGCCGCAATCGGGGTAAGAGAAGACAAAGGGAAGGGCCATTTCCATGCCTCCCGAGTTTACGCGGCCTCCAACCAACCAACCAATGTACGGCACGTCGTACCGCATAACTCTTCAACGACTCGACCGTTAAGAACCGCACCGGCAGCATTCGATAGCCTATGCAAAGGGCTATCCAGGGATAGCTTGGTTGCAACATGCAACAACTCTAGGCCACAACCCGCACGGATTCCCTCCGTCACCCTCAAGGGGGCTGAGCACCAACACACTCTACCGGTACCACACATTTAGCCCCAAACGCGCAATTAAAGCTAACTCGCGCATACATGCAACCTTGCCACATCTATGAGCCCTCTAAGAGGAAGCCATAGCCGCAATCCGGGCTCAAAACAGCAAAGGTATGGAGCAGATATGGGCATCCACGTCACAAACCGCCCTCCACCAACCACCAAGCGTACGGCATGCGGTACGGCATAGCGTTTCACTCACTTCAAAGTTCGCGATCGCACTGGCACCATTGGATAGCATATGTGAAGGGCTATCCAGGGACATCTTGGCCGTCACATGCAACAACGTCTTGGGTGAACGGCGGTGATTTCCCGCATTCACCCCCATGAGGCCTTACCACCACCGTCCCCTACCGTTGCCACACCATTTGCCACAAACGCGCAGGTAAACCTCATGCGCTTACACATGCTACCTTGCCACATCTATGAGCCCTCTAAGAGGAAGCCATAGCCGCAATCCGGGCTCAAAACAGCAAAGGTATGGAGCAGATATGGGCATCCACGTCACAAACCGCCCTCCACCAACCACCAAGCGTACGGCATGCGGTACGGCATAGCGTTTCACTCACTTCAAAGTTCGCGATCGCACTGGCACCATTGGATAGCATATGTGAAGGGCTATCCAGGGACATCTTGGCCGTCACATGCAACAACGTCTTGGGTGAACGGCGGTGATTTCCCGCATTCACCCCCATGAGGCCTTACCACCACCGTCCCCTACCGTTGCCACACCATTTGCCACAAACGCGCAGGTAAACCTCATGCGCTTACACATGCTACCTTGCCACATCTATGAGCCCTCTAAGAGGAAGCCATAGCCGCAATCCGGGCTCAAAACAGCAAAGGTATGGAGCAGATATGGGCATCCACGTCACAAACCGCCCTCCACCAACCACCAAGCGTACGGCATGCGGTACGGCATAGCGTTTCACTCACTTCAAAGTTCGCGATCGCACTGGCACCATTGGATAGCATATGTGAAGGGCTATGTGAAGGCCGAGGCGGTGGTGGTGGAGGGCTGGGCGGTGGCGGGGGCGGCGGCGGGGGAGAAGGAGGGGGGCTAGAAGGCGGCGGTGGTGGTGGAGGGCTGGGCGGTGGTGGTGGAGGCTGCGGGGGAGGAGGAGGAGGGGGGCTAGGAGGCGGCGGGGGCTGCGGCCGCGGCGGTGGTGGTGGAGGGCTGGGCGGTGGTGGTGAAGGCTGCGGAGGAGGAGGAGGGGGGCTAGGAGGCGGCGGCGGCGGCAAGGGAGGCGGCACGCCAGGCGAGAGGGAGGGGGAGGAGATGGCGGTGCGGGGCTAGGCGGCTCCGTCGAAGGTGGCGGCATGCAAGACGGGAGGGAGGGGGAGAACATGGCGGTGCGGGGCTGGGCGGTGGCGGGGGCGGCGGCGGGGGAGGAGGAGGGGGGCTAGGAGGCGGCGGGGGCGGCGGCCGAGGCGGTGGTGGTGGAGGGCTGGGCGGTGGCGGGGGCGGCGGCGGGGGAGAAGGAGGGGGCTGGAAGGCGGCGGTGGTGGTGGAGGGCTGGGCGGTGGTGGTGGAGGCTGCGGGGGAGGAGGAGGAGGGGGGCTAGGAGGCGGCGGGGGCTGCGGCCGCGGCGGTGGAGGGCTGGGCGGTGGTGGTGAAGGCTGCGGAGGAGGAGGAGGGGGGCTAGGAGGCGACGGCGGGGAAGGGCTGGGCGGTGCAGGTGAGGGCGGGGCAGGGCTGGGCGGTGCAGGCGAGGGCGGGGCAGGGCTGGGCGGTGCAGGCGAGGACGGGGCAGGGCTGGGCGGTGCAGGCGAGGGCGGGGCAGGGCTGGGCGGTGCAGGCGACGGCGGGGAAGGGCTGGGCGGTGCAGGCGAGGGCGGGGCAGGGCTGGGCGGGGCAGGTGAGGGCGGGGCAGGGCTGGGCGGTGCAGGCGAGGGCGGGGCAGGGCTGGGCGGTGAATCCCGGGTGGTGGTGAGGGGCTGGGCGGCTCCGGTGAAGGTGGCCGCACGCCAGGCGGGAGCGGTGCAGGAGATGGGAGTGCGGTGACCCATGGGCCACTTACCGGTCTTCGTGACGCTAGGCAGCTCCGTCCCGGGCAGCTTTACGCCAGTTTGTTTGCGGAGAGGGGCTACGGTGCCAGACCAGCCGGTGCCAGACCAGACCAGCCTGCAGCGGTGCAGGGGGGCACACGGTTGCATGGGAGGGGGGGGGCACAGAGATGAGCACAAGGAAGGGGAGGGCGGGGCAGGGCTGGGCGGTGCAGGCGAGGGCGGGGCAGGGCTGGGCGGTGCAGGCGAGGGCGGGGCAGGGCTGGGCGGTGCAGGCGAGGGCGGGGCAGGGCTGGGCGGTGCAGGCGAGGGCGGGGCAGGGCTGGGCGGTGCAGGCGAGGGCGGGGCAGGGCTGGGCGGTGCAGGCGGCGGCGGGGAAGGGCTGGGCGGTGCAGGCGAGGACGGGGCAGGGCTGGGCGGTGCAGGCGAGGGCGGGGCAGGGCTGGGCGGTGCAGGCGACGGCGGGGAAGGGCTGGGCGGTGCAGGCGAGGGCGGGGCAGGGCTGGGCGGGGCAGGTGAGGGCGGGGCAGGGCTGGGCGGTGCAGGCGAGGGCGGGGCAGGGCTGGGCGGTGCAGGCGAGGGCGGGGCAGGGCTGGGCGGTGCAGGCGAGGGCGGGGCAGGGCTGGGCGGTGAATCCCGGGTGGTGGTGAGGGGCTGGGCGGCTCCGGTGAAGGTGGCCGCACGCCAGGCGGGAGCGGTGCAGGAGATGGGAGTGCGGTGACCCATGGGCCACTTACCGGTCTTCGTGACGCTAGGCAGCTCCGTCCCGGGCAGCTTTACGCCAGTTTGTTTGCGGAGAGGGGCTACGGTGCCAGACCAGCCGGTGCCAGACCAGACCAGCCTGCAGCGGTGCAGGGGGGCACACGGTTGCATGGGAGGGGGGGGCACAGAGATGAGCACAAGGAAGGGGAGGGCGGGGCAGGGCTGGGCGGTGCAGGCGAGGGCGGGGCAGGGCTGGGCGGTGCAGGCGAGGGCGGGGCAGGGCTGGGCGGTGCAGGCGACGGCGGGGAAGGGCTGGGCGGTGCAGGCGACGGCGGGGAAGGGCTGGGCGGTGAATCCCGGGTGGTGGTGAGGGGCTGGGCGGCTCCGGTGAAGGTGGCCGCACGCCAGGCGGGAGCGGTGCAGGAGATGGGAGTGCGGTGACCCATGGGCCACTTACCGGTCTTCGTGACGCTAGGCAGCTCCGTCCCGGGCAGCTTTACGCCAGTTTGTTTGCGGAGAGGGGCTACGGTGCCAGACCAGCCGGTGCCAGACCAGACCAGCCTGCAGCGGTGCAGGGGGGCACACGGTTGCATGGGAGGGGGGGGCACAGAGATGAGCACAAGGAAGGGGGGGAGCGGTAGGGAGACGGGAGAGGGAGGCGACGCAGTATGGGAACAAGCAGGTGCAGGAGATGGCGGTGCGGTGTCAAGTACTGTGGGAGTGCTGGCATGTGCGCGTGCGTGGGTTGCATGCCGACTCCCCCCTCCCTCTGCCGCCTCCCCCTGCTCAGCCCCTTACCTCCCGCAAAACGTTTATACCCCCCCTACCCCCTCACCGTGGTGCCCCGCCAGCGTGTGTGTCACCTGCCCCGGAACGGTGCAGGAGATGGCGGTGCGGGGCTGGGCAGCTCCGGTGAAGGTGCCGCACGCCAGGCTGGAGAGGTGCAGCAGATGGCGGTGCGGGGCTGGGCAGCTCCGGCGAGGGAGCGGTGCTGCGAGGCGGCGGCGGCAGCAGAGTACGCAGACCAGTTCCAGCGGTAGACCTGGGGGGGAAGGGGGAGGGAGGGAGACAGGGAGGGGGGTGGGAAAGACATACAGACGTACGCCGACAACCCCCTACACATGCATGCGTGGCAGGACCAAGGCAGGACATCAAGCCAACCAGAACCCCTCCATCCCGCCAACCCCAGCTTGGTCCCTCGCCGACTCCCCCCCTCCCTCTGCCGCCTCCCCCTGCTCAGCCCCTTACCTCTCGCAAAACGTTTATACCCCCCTACCCCCTCACCGCGTGCTGTGCCCCGCCAGCGTGTGTGTCACCTGCCTCGCCGCCAGACTCCACACCGCCGCCGTACGACAGCAGTGGCACTGAAGGCCGATAGAGAGGCTGCTCGACCCTAGAACGTGGCTTTGCCCCTTTCAGTCATTGGTGCAGGCATATAATGCGCTGCACCGACTCAGGCTGCAAAGCCCCTTCTGTCCGATCGGCATGGCCGAAGGGACAGAAGGTTGTTTTCGGATTTTGCTAATGCTGCTGCCGCTGCTGCTGCTGGAGCTCCACGAGTCCACAGCACTCCAGTATCCAACTGCTCCTTAAGGATCCTGCAGCCGCAAAAGGGATGGCGCGCTGGATCAGGTTCGAAAATCGCAAGGTTTGTATAACAGGCTTAACAGGCGCCGATTTCTGCTAATCTGGTATGTTTGAATGATTGAAACTTAAACAGCAATGTAAACAGCAAAGCCACATACCTACAGACATCGCGCGCAAACCTAACATGCGAGCGCCAAATCTCCATAGCTCCATACGTCCTCACTAGCTCATTGTGTAGTTGCAAACGTATGTCCCTGACCCTTGGTAGTGTGTTCCCTAATCCCAGAGGACAGCGCTTTTTCAAATCCTTGCAAACATTGTGGCCGTGGAAGCAATAGCTATGTTAATTCCTTTAAGATGAGCAAAAAGAAGGTTGTAGCTATGATGACTGCGTGGAAAGGAGGCACGAAGTTGTTTAACTACAACGCCCTCATGCCTGCCTTGTACGGAAGGAAGATCCGTATTACGGTTAGTCGCCCTTGCATTAAGCGACCACACTTGCTCTATACAAACAATTTCCAATACGTTTTCAAGTTTATGTGTGCCCAGTCAACTGGGCAACTAGCAAGCAAGGGGGCGCATTGTGGGTGACAATGCCCACTCAAGCGCACTTAGCATAGAAGCCATATCACGAATAACAACTGGGTCTTGCACCCAGAACGTCTCTAAGCTCTAGTAGTAGTGTTACGCCTTCCTTTCAAGCGACGACGACCGGGGCCCGCGAGTAGCGACCTCGACATCCCGCACGGCTGTGGGCTTTGTTCTCAACATGAAGGTGGGTTTACTTATTACACATAACCTAGGACCTCCCAGGTCACCCATGGCTTCCGTCGTGCTTCCTTGAACCAGCCCAGCCATGCATATTGAGCTAGATGGTTGAATGGCTTGTAGTGGATTTTCCTAGCGGGCACTTACGGTGCCGCGTTGGGTCACACTGGTTATCATGCGTTGCCCCATACTCCCGACATGTTCCCATGAGCAATGCGCGCTCTATCCGCGCGTACCGCACGCTACTGCATGCGCGTATGGTCACCCTAAAACCCTAAAACCCTAAAAAGGCATGCCCTGACTGGGTGCAGGTGGCAGGAGAGGGAGAGGGGCTTGTGCTATTGGCAAGGGGGGGAGGCAGGGCCATTGGCAGCAGGCATGCCCTGACTGGGTGCAACTGGCAGGAGAGGGGGAGGGGCTTGTGCTATTGGCAAGGGGGGAGGCTGGGCTATTGGCAGCAGGCATGCCCTGACTGGGTGCAACTGGCAGGAGGGGGAGAGGGGCTTGTGCTATTGGCAAGGGGGGAGGCAGGGCCATTGGCAGCAGGCATGCCTTGACTGGGTGCAGGTGGCAGGAGAGGGGGAGGGGCTTGTGCTATTGGCAAGGGGGGAGGCTGGGCTATTGGCAGCAGGCATGCCCTGACTGGGTGCAGGTGGCAGGAGAGGGGGAGGGGCTTGTGCTATTGGCAAGGGGGGAGGCAGGGCCATTGGCAGCAGGCATGACCAGACTGGGTGCAAGTGGCAGGAGAGGGGGGGGGCTTGTGCTATTGGCAAGGGGGGAGGCAGGGCCATTGGCAGCAGGCATGCCCTGACTGGGTGCAGGTGGCAGGAGAGGGTGAGGGGCTTGTGCTATTGGCAAGGGGGGAGGCAGGGCCATTGGCAGCAGGCATGCCCTGACTGGGTGCAAGTGGCAGGAGAGGGAGAGGGGCTTGTGCTATTGGCAAGGGGGGAGGTTGGGCCATTGGCAGCAGGCATGCCCTGACTGGGTGCAAGTGGCAGGAGAGGGTGAGGGGCTTGTGCTATTGGCAAGGGGGGAGACAAGGCCATTGGCAGCAGGCATGACCTGACTGGGTGCAAGTGGCAGGAGAGGGGGAGGGGCTTGTGCTATTGGCAAGGGGGGAGGCTGGGCTATTGGCAGCAGGCATGCCCTGACTGGGTGCAGGTGGCAGGAGAGGGAGAGGGGCTTGTGCTATTGGCAAGGGGGGGAGGCAGGGCCATTGGCAGCAGGCATGCCCTGACTGGGGTGCAAGTGGCAGGAGAGGGGGAGGGGCTTGTGCTATTGGCTAGGGGGGAGGCAGGGCCATTGGCAGCAGGCATGCCCTGACTGGGTGCAGGTGGCAGGAGAGGGGGAGGGGCTTGTGCTATTGGCTAGGGGGGAGGCAGGGCCATTGGCAGCAGGCATGCCCTGACTGGGTGCAACTGGCAGGAGAGAGAGAGGGGCTTGTGCTATTGGCAAGGGGGGAGGCAGGGCCATTGGCAGCAGGCATGCCCTGACTGGGTGCAACTGGCAGGAGAGGGGGAGGGGCTTGTGCTATTGGCAAGGGGGGGAGGCAGGGCCATTGGCAGCAGGCATGTCCTGACTGGGGTGCAAGTGGCAGGAGAGGGGGAGGGGCTTGTGCTATTGGCAAGGGGGGAGGCAGGGCCATTGGCAGCAGGCATGCCCTTACTGGGTGCAAGTGGTAGGAGAGGGGGAGGGGCTTGTGCTATTGGCAAGGGGGGATGCAGGGCCATTGGCAGTAGGCATGCCCTGACTGGGTGCAACTGGCAGGAGGGGGGGAGGGGCTTGTGCTATTGGCAAGGGGGGAGGCAGGGCCATTGGCAGCAGGCATGCCCTGACTGGGTGCAACTGGCAGGAGAGAGAGAGGGGCTTGTGCTATTGGCAAGGGGGGGAGGCAGGGCCATTGGCAGCAGGCATGTCCTGACTGGGGTGCAAGTGGCAGGAGAGGGTGAGGGGCTTGTGCTATTGGCAAGGGGGGAGGCTGGGCTATTGGCAGCAGGCATGCCCTGACTGGGTGCAAGTGGCAGGAGAGGGGGAGGGGCTTGTGCTATTGGCAAGGGGGGAGGTTGGGCCATTGGCAGCAGGCATGCCCTGACTGGGTGCAAGTGGCAGGAGAGGGGGAGGGGCTTGTGCTATTGGCAAGGGGGGAGGCTGGGCTATTGGCAGCAGGCATGCCCTGACTGGGTGCAAGTGGCAGGAGAGGGGGAGGGGCTACAGGGCAAGCTATGTGTGGGTACAGGTGGATATAACCCATCTATGCTTGAATAGCAATAACACCTCTTGTCCCTAACCACACCCACCTTAGGTATTAGCTGTTCTTCTTGTCCAGCACACAGTTAGCACCCAAATGCTTGCTGTTGGAGGCTGCAAAGCTAGTTGACCAGCAAGCTTAGGCAAGAAAGCTCCTTCCTTAGCTATTAGTATCTTAACAACAACTGCAAGTGGCAGGAAAAGGGCAGGCAAGAAGAAACAAGTTAGCATCAGAGGATCAGGAGGCCCAAACTTCTGCAACTGACCTCAGCTCTTCACAAACAAAGCAAAGTGCTTATCTATGATAGCTAAATGGTAAAGCTTGGCCTTCTGAGAAGCAGGATAAGAGCAGCCAACCTCAGCCCACCAATTCAAGCCTGAAGTTCAAGCTTTCCCAAAAGCTGCCAAGATAACAGCTCAAAACAACTTGCCTTTGTCAAAAGATGGCAGAGAGCACTCCAAGGCCCAGAGAAGACCAAGTGCTGCACCTAAATGCTTGCTGATGGAGGCTGCAAAGCTAGTTGACCAGCAAGCTAAGCCAAGAAAGCTCCTTCCTTAGCTATTAGTATCTTAACAACAACTGCAAGTGGCAGGAAAAGGCCAGGCAAGAAGAAACAAGTTAGCATCAGAGGATCAGGAGGCCCAAACTTCTGCAAGTGACCTCAGCTCTTCACAAACAAAGCAAAGTGCTTATCTATGATAGCTAAATGGTAAAGCTTGGCCTTCTGAGAAGCAGGATAAGAGCAGCCAAGCTCAGCCCACCAATTCAAGCCTGAAGTTCAAGCTTTCCCAAAAGCTGCCAAGATAACAGCTCAAAACAACTTGCCTTTGTCAAAAGATGGCAGAGAGCACTCCAAGGCCCAGAGAAGACCAAGTGCTGCACCCAAATGCTTGCTGTTGGAGGCTGCAAAGCTAGTTGACCAGCAAGCTAAGCCAAGAAAGCTCCTTCCTTAGCTATTAGTATCTTAACAACAACTGCAAGTGGTAGGAAAAGGGCAGGCAAGAAGAAACAAGTTAGCATTAGAGGATCAGGAGGCCCAAACTTCTGCAAGTGACCTCAGCTCTTCACAAACAAAGCAAAGTGCTTATCTATGGTAGCTAAATGGTAAAGCTTGGCCTTCTGAGAAGCAGGATAAGAGCAGCCAAGCTCAGCCCACCAATTCAAGCCTGAAGTTCAAGCTTTCCCAAAAGCTGCCAAGATAACAGCTCAAAACAACTTGCCTTTGTCAAAAGATGGCAGAGAGCACTCCAAGGCCCAGAGAAGACCAAGTGCTGCACCTAAATGCTTGCTGATGGAGGCTGCAAAGCTAGTTGACCAGCAAGCTAAGCCAAGAAAGCTCCTTCCTTAGCTATAAGTATCTTAACAACAAGTGCAAGTGGCAGGAAAAGAGCAGGCAAGAAGAAACAAGTTAGCATCAGAGGATCAGGAGGCCCAAACTT